TCCCTCCTCCGGCACGGTCCCTAAATCACACCACACCCGCGAGCGCACAAAGGCCCCCGCGACCCTCGACCCCCGCGGCCGCCGGCCCCCGCGGCGGGGCGCCACTTAGCGCTCCTCGTGACTAATGGCCGCGGCGACACCACCTGGCCGACCACAAAGAAGTGCCGGAGCGAGGAGGAGGGTGGCGGTGGACTCGGACCGGACCAAAGCGCGCCCTATTTCCGTCCTAAAGCTGCTGCTCGAGGTCGGGTTGCCTACGTACCAACACCCGCCCCGGACCGTGGGTTGGTGCGTGCAGTACGGTACGAACTACAGAGCCAACTCTACCACAGTACTATAGTTCAGTATTCACTGTAGTATAAATCTACAATCTTGTCGAAGGTCGGTGAACCACACACTTTTTAAAAAAGTAAATTAAACGACTGACGCCTTCCGAAATTTCGCCCAAATGCGCAAAATACTGCTGTGGTTGTTGAGTGCGCGCCTGTGGCGCTTGCTATTGGGCCGATCCTTTCCTTTACCGCGCTGTTAAGGGCCTTAAGCACTCGCCCACCTCCCTTTTTGTGCGCGCTCTCGACCCCCCACCCCCTACCCCTACCCCCACCTCCCACCTCCTCGCCACCTCCTCGGGGGGGATCCCATTTATCACACCTACAAATCCATTACGAGATAATAAACGATGAGCCTCTCTCGCCGGGCTACTGGTGCCGGTGCTGCCTCCCTCCCTCGCGGCGCCGCGAGCACCCTGTTCTTCCCACGCCCCGCCCCGCCCCGCCCCGCCCCGCCGCACCCTCGGCAGACAGCCGCGGCGGAGAGAGAGAAAGAGATTTCCTCGCCGCCCTGTGTGTGAGCCGCGCACATCTCTGGCGCAGTTCGAATGGCAACGGTACGGTGGTGGCTGTGTTGCCATAGAGAAAAGTAGGCAATAAGTAGCCCAAACACCAAACACGTAGGCGCGTGGAACTGGCTGCAACAACGCCTGCAACACTTGTGGTGGTCGCGGTCATGGTGGTCGTGGTCGGTACTAGATTTAGTAGTGTGCCGGTGGTGTCCGTCAGTGTGAAGGAGGTGCCCCCGCTTTTTATGCCAACACCAGCAGGTGGTTGGTGGTGTGCGTGGTGAGGAGGCGCCATCTGCTGGTGGAGCTCCG